AAGTGCTACCTCAGTTGCCTTTCGTATGCCTATCCCTCCAAATCTCACTGGTAGTGTTGCTTGGTCCCACTGACTGTCATCTAAATCTAGGTTGAGCGCCTTCCTGAATATTGACCTGAGGAGCTCATCATATTGATTTAGAAGTGGGTTGCCAAAAGTTGGTGCACACCTTAAGAAGTATGTTAGCCTGGGCAGGGTAAGGCACTTTGTGAGAAGGTAGAGGGCATCGTGGGAGTCCAAGTCCCCAATTCTCTCTTCCATCCTCTTTAGGTCTCTAAACTTTTCGTCAAGGACTGCAGCAATGGCATTGTGGCCCAGAGGTGCTCCGAGTAGTGTGCTGTCGGTAGGTTTAACGACTGAGGCTTCTGGTAGAACTGATTTCACTGCTCTAATGATTACTTCACTTGATGCAATAATTTCGCACTTGGAGGGGCTAAGAACGAGACCCATGGACTCCCCCCGTGTCTTCACCAGCTGTAAGTCTTCTAGCAGGGAATCTTGTGTGCCTGCCAGAGTGCCATCATCCAGGAACCAGATGTTGAGCTCGCTGGACAGTCTGGTTGTAATTTCTCGAACCGCTATGCAAAAGAGGAACGGTGCAAGTGGGTCACCCTGTTGAATTCCCTCTGCTGAGGTGACTTCATGTTTGCCAAACAGGAGGGTTGAGTCTTTGCTGTAGCCTGCTGACACAAACGGGAGAATGCTTGGGCAATGTTCCTGGACTGCAGTGAGGATTGCTTCCCTTTTGACCGAGTTGAAAGCGTTTTTAAAATCTAATTTTACTACTGCCTGGTCTTCAGTAAGAGAGCTAATGTAGGCTCGTGCAGCATGAGCCGCTGCTTCACAGCCTTGGGGGACTCCAAACCCCAGCTGGTTGGGTTGCAGCATGGTGGCTGCTTCCGTTCGGATACTTCTGACAGCAGCCCTTGCAACTAGGCGGCGAAGGGTATTACCAACGGCAATGGGTCTGATTCCTCCCCCCTTCTTTTTGAGGGCACATAGAGATGCACCAAAGAAGAATGGTTTGATTTCATCAGGGATTAACCCGGCGAGGCAGTTGTTGACAAACGTTGTGATTTCTGTCAGGAGCGCTTCTGCAGCTGGGCCAAGAACAGGGTTCACCATTTCCTTCACATGTTGAGGTCTTACCCCTGTGTAGCCTCCTGAGGAGCCCGGGGGAAATGAAACGATAGCTTTATAAACCTCTGACTCCCGGAGGACGAGAGGTTCCTGATTAGGGGCGGGCCTGACCTGTGGGGGAGGTCCACCTACGGCCCTGACGGGGTGTTTTTCTCTCAGTGCTTGGGCTGTGGTTTCATCCCTGGGCAAAATTTTGTCCTCACTTGTGATTAACCTGAGTGCCCCGACTGTATTGCCCTCTTCAATTTTCTTGCTGACTTGGGTACCTAATTTTCTGTTGTCGCTGATTGTCGTACTTGGTCTGCCTCGGCGGTGTTTGGTGTGTTTGGGGAGGCGGACTAGGTTGTCAGCCCTCGGAAAATCCCTAATTGCTTTATTGATGGATGAGGCCAGTGTCTTGCCTCCTCTGTCTGGTACACCTAAGCATGCATTGCCAAAAAGTAACAGATTGTGCCAGGCTTTGATGGTATCAGGTGCAACAAGGTTATTTGACCCTCTGTTGACTTTTGCGATGAGGTCCGTGTATTTCCCTGCAGCAAAAGGGCGAGAGGCCTTTGGGATGTGGGTGAGTGTCCTGGTTGACGTTGCTTTAATTGCCTCTAGCAGGTCGTCTGTTGCAACGTAATCTGTTGCGATTTGTACTGGTGCAACAGGCTCCTGAGTGCTGCCTCCTCCCACGGGAGGCCTCCCTGACCCAGGACAGTCACCATGCTGGCGTATGACTCTGGAGACAGAGTTGATGCTGACGATGTTCCACAACCACTGCATGTGCCTCTCCTTTGATTGGCTTCGGGAGGGGTGAGCTGGCTGGTAGCGGCTTCTTCTGCCATCCCCTTAGGTAAAGTGAATGTCGCCTTGCACTGGAGTATTTGTCTCTCCCTCCTGGCTGGGGGGGACGAGGTTGTCCCCTATACTATGCGTCATGTCTGGGCAGATGTCTGGGGTGGGTGGGCTCGTGGAGGTGGTGGGTGGGGGTTGGGAGATATATATATATATATATATATATATATATATATATATATATATATAATTTTAATATCAAATAAAATAATTAAATCAAGCCCAGGATAGTTTTTCTAGACATGAGAGACTTAAAGTGGTTGTCATTCAGACGGTTAAGCACTCTTGGGCCTGGCGAGTGGCTGGACGGGTGCTTGCCAGCACTGCTCTTCATTCTATTGAACTTTTATCTTACCTAAAGCAAAATTCCACATTAATATTCCCGTAATGAATATAGGGCTCTTCCAGCGGTAATTAATACTGGTTTAGTGTCTGCAGAAATGTAATGGTAACGCAGAGGTCTGCCATCAGCAGCAGCGTCGCGTCTAGGAATAGAATGCACTCTTATTACCTTAAACTTTTAGGCAGCAGACACAGGCGGCTGCTGCAGCAGACACAGGCGGCTGCTGCAGCAGACACAGGCGGCTGCTGAAGCAGACACAGGCGGCTGCTGAAGCAGACACAGGCGGCTGCTGCAGCAGACACAGGCGGCTGCTGCAGCAGACACAGGCGGCTGCTGCAGCAGACACAGGCGGCTGCTGAAGCAGACACAGGCGGCTGCTGAAGAAGACACTGGGCGGCTGCTGCAGCAGACACAGGCGGCTGCTGCAGCAGACACAGGCGGCTGCTGCAGCAGACACAGGCGGCTGCTGAAGCAGACATAGGCGGCTGCTGCAGCAGACACACGCGGCTTCTGAAGCAGACACAGGCGGCTGCTGCAGCAGACACAGGCAGCTGCTGCAGCAGACACAGGCGGCTGCAGCAGACACAGGCGGCTGCTGCAGCAGACACAGGCGGCTGCTGCAGCAGACACAGGCGGCTGCTGCAGCAGACACAGGCGGCTGCTGAAGCAGACACAGGCGGCTGCTGCAGCAGACACAGGCGGCTGCAGCAGACACAGGCGGCTGCTGCAGCAGACACAGGCGGCTGCTGCAGCAGACACAGGCGGCTGCTGAAGCAGACACAGGCGACTGCTGAAGCAGACACAGGCGACTGCTGCAGCAGACACAGGCGGCTGCTGCAGCAGACACAGGCGGCTGCTGAAGCAGACACAGGTGTCTGCTGCAGCAGACACAGGCGGCTGCTGCAGCAGACACAGGCGGCTGCTGCAGCAGACACAGGCGGCTGCTGAAGCAGACACAGCTAGGCGACTGCTGAAGCAGACACAGGCGGCTGCTGCAGCAGACACAGGCGGCTGCTGCAGCAGACACAGGCGGCTGCTGCAGCAGACACAGGCGGCTGCTGCAGCAGACACAGACGGCTGCTGCAGCAGACACAGACGGCTGCTGCAGCAGACACAGGCGGCTGCTGCAGCAGACACAGGCGGCTGCTGCAGCAGACACAGACGGCTGCTGCAGCAGACACAGACGGCTGCTGCAGCAGACACAGGCGGCTGCTGCAGCAGACACAGGCGGCTGCTGCAGCAGACACAGGCGGCTGCTGCAGCAGACACAGGCGGCTGCTGCAGCAGACACGGGCGGGCAGACCTTAAACAATGAGCCGGATACAAGTGCTCCACAACTTACAAAGTCATTGATTTTTTGTCGAAAGTTCGTTTAATTACACTTTGACTGAGTAGAGAGTTGAGGCGATGCTGGATCTGGCCCTGCACCTGTTAGATCTGGCCCTCCACTTGTTAGATCTGGCCCTCCACTTGTTAGACCTGCCCCTCCACTTGTTAGACCTGGCCCTCCACTTGTTAGATCTGGCCCCTCCACTTGTTAGATCTGGCCCTCCACTTGTTAGATCTGCCCCTCCACTTGTTAGACCTGGCCCTCCACTTGTTAGACCTGGCCCTCCACTTGTTAGACCTGCCCCTCCACTTGTTAGATCTGCCCCTCCACTTGTTAGACCTGCCCCTCCACTTGTTAGATCTGCCCCTCCACTTGTTAGACCTGCCCCTCCACTTGTTAGACCTGGCCCTCCACTTGTTAGATCTGGCCCCTCCACTTGTTAGATCTGGCCCTCCACTTGTTAGATCTGCCCCTCCACCTGTTAGACCTGCCCCTCCACTTGTTAGATCTGCCCCTCCACCTGTTAGACCTGGCCCTCCACTTGTTAGACCTGGCCCTCCACTTGTTAGACCTGGCCCTCCACTTGTTAGACCTGGCCCTCCACTTGTTAGACCTGGCCCTCCACTTGTTAGACCTGCCCCTCCACTTGTTAGACCTGCCCCTCCACTTGTTAGACCTGGCCCTCCTCTTGTTAGACCTGCCCCTCCACTTGTTAGACCTGGCCCTCCTCTTGTTAGACCTGCCCCTCCACTTGTTAGACCTGCCCCTCCACTTGTTAGACCTGGCCCTCCTCTTGTTAGACCTGGCCCTCCTCTTGTTAGACCTGCCCCTCCACTTGGCCTCAAGTATTCCACTCAACACTCCACCCCGCCCACCCTCTGGGGAAATATGTTATGTGGGAAGAAAGAGTTTTAGTGAAAATCAGAACTTGAGGAAATAATGTTTCCTCTACAACACTTCACTACGACTCTTCCAGCATCAAACTTTGTATATCTTCCTCTCACACTACCCTCATCTCCTCCCTGCAACATTGAAAACCAACTGCATTCATCTCTAAAGATAACTGTATTCATCTCTAAAACCAAGTGCATTCATCTCTAAAACCAACTGCATTCATCTCTAAAACCAAGTGCAGTCATGTCTAAAACCAACCTAGTACACACTGTAAACACTGTAAACAAAGTACACTGTAAACAAAGTCGCCAAAGATTGAGAAAAAATGTACAAGTTCGTAAGTGCTTGGGTAACTGCTCCGTGAATCTGGCCCCAGGTTCGTAAGTGCTTGGGTAACTGCTTCGTGAATGTGGCTCCAGGTTCGTAAGTGCTTGCGTAACTGCTCCGTGAATTTGGCCCCAGGTACGTAAGTGCTTGGGTAACTGCTTCGTGAATGTGGCCCCTGGGGTTCGTAAGTGCTTGCGTAACTGCTTCGTGAATCTGGCCCCTGGGGTTCGTAAGTGCTTGCGTAACTGCTTCGTTAATCCGGGTCCAGCTCTGAAGACCCCGTTTAAGAAGGTCGCGCTAATCATTTAGCGTCTCGGAGCTCAAACAAATAGTTTCATTCCTGAGAGTCGGAGTTGAGAGACTCTTGAGAGTTTCTTGAGAGAAAACTTCTTTAATTCCGCTCTCAGCCGGAGTCTTTTTCGCGAATTACATTTTACGTTAATGGCCTAAACGCCGCTGCTGGTCCAAGACGCGTCTCGATAGTTACCAAACAGCGGAAGACGGATTTGTCATTTCTTAAAAAATGTCTACTGAAGTGTTTTAGGAAAATTGTCAATAGCAGTTGACTGGTCTTTAGCGACCCTTAAGACTGTACCGTACATGGCCTCAACACTGTACCGTACATAGCAACCATGTCCCCCATAACTGCTGTCTTGGAGGTGATGGGGGGCAGGGGGGAGGGAGAGGAGGGGAGGGGGAAGTGGGTTGAGAGAGGAAGAGGAAAGGAGGAAGAAATTGTAGGAAGAAATGGGAGGAAGGAATGGGTGGATAGAGCAAATCTTAATTCATCTCTTGAGGATTGTTCATCTACACGAGAATACCATAGGTGAGTACATATGGTACCATAACTAGCCATAACTAACATAACTAGGTGAGTACAACTAGGTGAGCATCATACCAACCAAACTTACACACTCAGCGTTCAATGTTTCCCAGAAAATATGTTTATACCTATGCACAAACGTCCACTTAACAGTGTATTACCTTAGTAGAGGAAGACACATCTCAGCTGGAGAATGTTACACACGACTCTTCAATTGCTGAAGATCAGGGGGGAAAGCGCCAAGCCATTACGACTATATAGCACTGGGAAGGGGTCAGGATAAGGATTAGGGATGGGACAGAAGGAGAGGAATGGTGCCCAACCACTTGTATGGACGGTCGGGGATTGAACGCCGACCTGCATGAAGCGAGACCGTCGCTCTACCGTCCAGCCCAAGTGGTTGATGATGAGGGACTCTGGAAAAAAAAAACATTGTGTTTGAGTCAGTTCCGTAATATATCAAGTCCTTGCAAGTCCTTGCAAGGACTTGCAAGGACTTGCAAGGAATACAAAGTATGGATTACAAAGTATGTATGGAATACAAAGAAAGGAATCAAAGTATGATTCCATACTTTGCAAATGCAAAGTATGGAATACAAAAAAACACACATTGTGTTTATTGCTTGAATTCACGATAGACTCACAGTAATTATAATAGGCTACTGTGCGATCGAGACACAATATCTGTGAGCAGCTATGGTGAGACAGATACACAGAAACTGTGACAAGCTACTGTGCAATACATAAAGTAACTGAGAAGCTACATTGTGATTGACATATAGTAACTGTGAAAAACTACAGTGATACAGACATACAGTAACTGTGGGAAGCTACGGTGTGCGACACAGTAACTTTCAATAGGCACAGATTATGTGCAGGAAGCTACCTCTCAACACACACACAGTAACTGTGAGAATCTAATGTACGATAGACATTTATTAATTATGAGATATTACTGTGTGACAATCAAACAGTAACTGTCAGATGCTACGATGCGATAGACACAGTAACTGTGAGAAGTGGTTGTGTGATAGAAGCGCTGAAACTGTCAGAAACTACGGTACGATCGACATAAACAGTAACTGTGGACAGCTACGGTGCAAGTAACCGTACCTAAAAGTATGCGCTAAAACTTGCAACATCCTCAGACCAAGAGCCATCAAAGATACAGCAGACGACAGAAAAAACAGCAACATTGCAGCGAGAGACCGACAACAAGCTTAGACGCGACGTCAAGCTAACTTACTGAGGACTTGCAGTCCACTGACTTTAAATAATTTTGATTTTAGGGGTAACTACCTCAAATGTGAGAACATTTTTGTTTTTTAGGGATAACTTCCTCAAACGTGAGAACATTTTTATACTTAAGGGATAACTTCCTCAAATGTGAGAACATTTTGTACTTTAGGGATAACTTCCTCAAATGTGAGAACATTTTTGTTTTTTAGGGATAACTTCCTCAAACGTGAGAACATTTTTATACTTAAGGGATAACTTCCTCAAATGTGAGAACATTTTGTACTTTAGGGATAACTTCCTCAAATGTGAGAACAGTGATCCGGACCATAGCCAAGGAGACTCTGGTAGAGCTGGAGTTACTGTTAAAATATGGCATATATTTCGAACCAGAACGGAAGTCCTCTTCACATTAGCTTTAAGATGGGGAAGGAAGGGAAGAAAACTATCAGGGGAAAGTGCCAAGCCATTACTACTTTATAGCACTGGGAAGGGGTCAGGATAAGGATTTGGGATGGGACGGGGAAGAAAGGAATGGTGCCCAACCACTTGTGGACGGTCGGGGATTGAACACCGACCTGCATGAAGCGAGACCGTCGCTCTACCGTCCACCCCAAGTGATTGGAACTTTCCCAGAAAATTCTGCTGATAATTTTCTGAGAAAGCTGTGTACATAAGAACACGAGTACGGTGGAACAAACATGAGTACGGTGGAACAAACATGAGTACGGTGGAACAAACACGAGTACGGTGGAACAAACATGAGTACGGTGGAACAAACACGAGTACGGTGGAACAAACACGAGTACGGTGGAACAAACACGAGTATGGTGGAACAAACACGAGTACGGTGGAACAAACACGTGTACGGTGCAACAAACACGAGTACTGTGGAACAAACATGAGTACGGTGGAACAAACACGAGTACGGTGGAAAAAACACGAGTACGGTGGAACAAACACGAGTACGATGGAACAAACACGAGTACGGTGGAACAAACATGAGTACGGTGGAACAAACACGAGTACGGTGGAACAAACACGAGTACGGTGGAACAAACACGAGTACTGTGGAACAAACATGAGTACGGTGGAACAAACACGAGTACGGTGGAACAAACATGAGTACGGTGGAACAAACATGAGTACGGTGGAACAAACACGAGTACGGTGGAACAAACATGAGTACGGTGGAACAAACACGAGTACGGTGGAACAAACACGAGTACGGTGGAACAAACACGAGTACGATGGAACAAACACGAGTACGGTGGAACAAACATGAGTACGGTGGAACAAACACGAGTACGGTGGAACAAACACGAGTACGGTGGAACAAACACGAGTACTGTGGAACAAACATGAGTACGGTGGAACAAACACGAGTACGGTGGAACAAACACGAGTACTGTGAGTACGAACAAACACGAGTACGGTGGAACAAACATGAGTACGGTGGAACAAACACGAGTACGGTGGAACAAACACGAGTACGGTGGAACGGTGGAACAAACACGAGTACGGTGGAACAAACACGAGTACGGTGGAACAAACACGAGTACGGTGGAACAAACACGAGTACGGTGGAACAAACACGAGTACGGTGGAACAAACACGAGTACGGTGGAACAAACATGAGTACGGTGGAACAAACACGAGTACGGTGGAACAAACACGAGTACGGTGGAACAAACATACGAGTACGGTGGAACAAACACGAGTACGGTGGAACAAACACGAGTACGGTGGAACAAACATGAGTACGGTGGAACAAACACGAGTACGGTGGAACAAACACGAGTACGGTGGAACAAACACGAGTACGGTGGAACAAACACGAGTACGGTGGAACAAACACGAGTACGGTGGAACAAACACGAGTACGGTGGAACAAACATGAGTACGGTGGAACAAACACGAGTACGGTGGAACAAACACGAGTACGGTGGAACAAACACGAGTACGGTGGAACAAACATGAGTACGGTGGAACAAACATGAGTACGGTGGAACAAACATGAGTACGGTGGAACAAACGCGAGTACTGTGGAACAAACATGAGTACGGTGGAACAAACATGAGTACGGTGGAACAAACACGAGTACGGTGGAACAAACACGAGTACGGTGGAACAAACACGAGTACGGTGGAACAATCATGAGTTCGGTGGAACAAACACGAGTACGGTGGAACAAACATGAGTACTGTGGAACAAACACGAGTACTGTGGAACAAACATGAGTACGGTGGAACAAACACGAATACGGTGGAACAAACATGAGTACGGTGGAACAAACACGAGTACGGTGGAACAAACACGAGTACGGTGGAACAAACACGTGTACGGTGGAACAAACACGAGTACGGTGGAACAAACATGAGTACTGTGGAACAAACACGAGTACTGTGGAACAAACATGAGTACGGTGGAACAAACATGAGTACGGTGGAACAAACATGAGTACGGTGGAACAAACACGAGTACGGTGGAACAAACACGAGTACGGTGGAACAAACATGAGTACTGTGGAACAAACACGAGTACGGTGGAACAAACACGAGTACGGTGGAACAAACACGAGTACGGTGGAACAAACATGAGTACTGTGGAACAAACACGAGTACTGTGGAACAAACATGAGTACTGTGGAACAAACATGAGTACGGTGGAACAAACACGAGTACGGTGGAACAAACACGAGTACGGTGGAACAAACATGAGTACTGTGGAACAAACACGAGTACTGTGGAACAAACATGAGTACGGTGGAACAAACATGAGTACGGTGGAACAAACACGAGTACGGTGGAACAAACACGAGTACGGTGGAACAAACATGAGTACTGTGGAACAAACACGAGTACGGTGGAACAAACATGAGTACTGTGGAACAAACACGAGTATGGTGAAACAAACATGAGTACTGTGGAACAAACACGAGTACGGTGGAACAAACATGAGTACTGTGGAACAAACACGAGTACGGTGGAACAAACACGAGTACGGTGGAACAAACATGAGTACGGTGGAACAAACATGAGTACTGTGGAACAAACACGAGTACGGTGGAACAAACACGAGTACGGTGGAACAGACACGAGTACGGTGGAACAAACATGAGTACGGTGGAACAAACACGAGTACTGTGGAACAAACATGAGTACGGTGGAACAAACACGAGTACTGTGGAACAAACACGAGTACGGTGGAACAAACATGAGTAATGTGGAACAAACACGAGTACGGTGGAACAAACACGAGTACGGTGGAACAAACATGAGTACTGTGGAACAAACACGAGTACGGTGGAACAAACACGAGTACGGTGGAACAAACATGAGTACGGTGGAACAAACATGAGTACGGTGGAACAAACATGAGTACCATGGACCATGTTGTGACCCACCAGTAAAGGTCGTGGTATAAGCTTTCCCTCCCCACTCAATGATTGGCACCGAATGAGCAAATCACAACTTCACAACTTCACAACATAATCACAACTCCAACGGTCTGGAATACAAGCCACCAGTTTACAGAGGTGAACGTAGTCTACATAACAACAAGTATTCACAAGATATACACCACAACAAAGTTAATAATCATATAATAAAGTTAATCTCCAGGGTCATTATAGTCACTGTAACCAGATGTTACCATGTTAACCAGGCGACCACATGTAACAACATGGTGTGCAGTAGACAACAAGTGCATCTAAGTTGAGGACAAAGGGGGATAAATAGTGACGTTATTCGAAAGCAAAGTCACTGAGGACTAATCTTAGTCTCAAGAGACTCAACGACAATCAAGTAACCAGTGTTACTTGGAGGACGGGTTGGCCAGCCCGTTTGGAGGCTCGAACAAAAGAACTGATCAGCCCGTCCTCCAAACAAAGACCCAAAAGTGATTCCATCTACCCGCAACCCCCCCCCCCCCACCCCCCAGCTGTTTATGAATGAAAACGGTTTACACGCGACTCACAACTGATCTCGTTCGAACACTTCAGGAACAAGTGCTTCACTGACGAATTTTGTTCGAACCACAACGCTGTAAATGCTTCACCCGCATACTATAAATACAAATAACCGCCGAGAGAACCTAAACACCTAACGTAACCTCTGCCTATTGTGACGAGTTGTGGTATCGCCGCTATACTGAACCAAGATGGTATGGCTCTCCCGCACATAATAAACAAAAATGCTGCTATTGGCCCTGCAGTGTGTAAGTCGCAGGTGGAAACAAATTAAAATCATCAAATAAATAATTAAACAATTTACTGAAATATTAACGAACATAAATGCCCCTGAAAATACTTGGCTCTCATGTAATGCAAAAGTGAACACGTTAGTATGATCTTAAATGTAAAAATAAACTACAGTAAAAGTAATGAATTAAAGCATAAAGATATACTGGTGTAGTGAAGACAGCTACCTTACCTTCATGGCATCAGTCACACGACGTTGGCTGGAGGCGGACGACGGGTGAGAGACACGAAGGTGATCCTCGAGCACTAAGAGAGAGACTGACCCTCCAGGGAGGCGGCGCCCTTTATATAGTCCAGCGGTGATGACTCTTCCAGTGTCACCACAAGGTGGACCTCTGGTCAACTAGCAAACTGCTCGTTGTGGCTGGCGGTGCCTTTGTGTTCAGCTGCACCACTGTCAGTTGAAGGCGGCTAACTGCTTGTTTGTGGGGGCAAACTACCGGTTAGCAGAGGCACCCAGCTTGCCTCTGAGTCGTACCACGCCGTGCCAGGCCCTGGGGGGTGGGGGGGTACGGAGAGGTGGCAGGACAGATGACTCATCTGGGCTGGTGTAGATGTAGACTTCCAGTACAGAGGCATTGAAGGTGTGAAGGAAAAAGGCAGTTCCACCGCTATGATGGGGATTCACGTGACACTATATATGCACAATATGGTAATATATTATAATATTAATTTATATTTGAGGAAATTCCCGTTTTAACTGAACAGCATGTAAAAATTTATGAGTGCGTCTGTGGGGTCGACCGCTGGATGGAATGGACTTGAGTCGAGGACGGGTTGCTGTTCGAACCACAATTCTATAAATGCTTCACACTCGTACTTCAAAAACCAATAATCACCAACAGAACCTAAACCCCTAACCTAATCTAACCTACGCCTAACTATACAAAGAATTTTTATGTATAATAATAGTAATTTATAAATAAGAACAAACCAATGCTTAATACACAGTATGTTAACATTGATGAATGCGTCTGGGGACGACGGCCGCTGCTTTAACCAGCCTAGTTTGAGGACGGCCGCTGCTTTAACCAGCCTAGTGTGAGGACGGCCGCTGCTTTAACCAACCTAGTGTGAGGACGGCCGCTGCTTTAACCAACCTAGTGTGAGGACGGCCGCTGCTTTAACCACCCTAGTTTGAGTTACGGCCGCTACTTTAACCACCCTAGTGTGAGGACGGGCGCTGCTTTAACCACCCTAGTGTGAGGACGGCCGCTGCTTTAACCAGCCTAGTGTGAGGACGGGTTGCCCAGTGCGGCAGGCGGCTATACCCCTCCCCTCACCCAGGTCAACTGAACAATAACAACTTAATACCTGCAATATACCCTCTCGGGATACTAAAAGAATAATTTAAATATACCTGAACACAGCATTTTAGAAACTAGAATATCACAGATTTTTATGCAAATAATAATAATATACAGCAGTCCATCCCCCCAGGGGTTGGCTGCCCTGAAGCACGAAAACACACACACACACACACACACACACACACACACACACACACACACACACACACACACACACACACAGTACACCCAGCAGATCCAGCATGGAGTCCATATCTAGTCAAGGATAAGACTAAACTGGAAAAGGTTCAAAGGTTTGCCACTAGACTAGTACCCGAGCTGAGAGGTATGAGCTACGAGGAGAGACTACGGGAATTAAACCTCACTTCGCTGGAAGACAGAAGAGTTAGGGGGGACATGATCACCACATTCAAGATTCTGAAGGGAATTGATAGGGTAGATAAAGACAGGCAATTTAACACAAGGGGAACACGCACTAGGGGACACATGTGGAAACTGAGTGCCCAAATGAGCCATAGAGATATTAGAAAGAACTTTTTTAGTGTCAGAGTGGTTGACAAATGGAATGCATTAGGAAGCAATGTGGTGGAGGCTGACTCCATACACAGTTTCAAGTGTAGATATGATAGAGCCCAATAGGCTCAGTAACCTGTACACCTGTTGATTGACGGTTGAGAGGCGGGACCAAAGAGCCAGAGCTTAACCCTCTCAAGAACAACACATATCAACTTTAAATGCTATTAAATTAAAACAAGAAAACTGACCTCTCATTTCCACCTTTCTCTGTTACTGTGTATGTTGATACTCTGTATAACATTGATTTGTATTTCGTTGTTTCATGTCGTTGTTGTGTATGACGTTAGTGTGTATATTGTTCCGTGTATACTTGTGTATACATACGCTGCCACACATCGGGAACATACACAAAGTACCCATAATAAAAGTGTCAGTCATAGATTTGTATTATTTGTAAACACAATTTAGAACCCATTTTCCTTGAACCGTCGAAATATAGCCGCACAGACACGCCCAATCAGCGAATTGCAATTATTGCAACAATCCCAAATACCTGTTTATCAATCGTTCCAAATTAGTTATTGCATAATATATCACACAAGGTAAAATAGTGGTATTAATTCCCAGCAATAACAACCCAAAATATTTACGAGAAGTGTAATAAAATTAGTTTTTGAAATAATTCCAAATTAGTTATCGTGGGGAGTATTATGTAAGATAACATAACACCTGCGATAGCCCCTTTATTAGGGTCTCGCGCCCTGTTGCATGCAACGGCGTGTCTGCAACGAGCCGTGTTAGCGTGGTTAACGAGGTCGTATCTTGCCTGCACAGTCCCACTGCAACTTCTGCAACACGGCTCCACGATATTCACACCTTCTATTAATAATGAATAAACACCTGTGTATCGTCGTCTCCGCGTAGGACCTGTTTTGTACGTGTTTTGTGGTGGTAATATGTTGGTTCTTGTTCGTGTTTTGTACGTGTTTTGTAAGTGTTTTGTGGTGGTAATATGATGGTTCTTGTTCGTGTTTTGTGGTGGTAATATGTTGGTTCTTGTCCGTGTTTTGTGGTGATGATATGTTGGTTCTTGTCCGTGTTTTGTGGTGGTAATATGTTGGTTCTTGTCCGTGTTTTGTGGTGGTAATATGTTGATTCTTGTACGTGTTTTGAGATTATGATATGTTGGTTCTTGTCCGTGTTTTGTGGCGATGATATGTTGGTTCTTGTCCGTGTTTTGTGGTGGTAATATGTTGGTTCTTGTCCGTGTTTTGTGGTGGTAATATGTTGATTCTTGTACGTGTTTTGTGGTGATGATATGTTGGTTCTTGTCCGTGTTTTGTGGTGGTTCTTGTACGTGTTTTGTGGTGATAATATGATGGTTCTTGTTCGTGTTTTGTGGTGATAATATGATGGTTCTTGTTCGTGTTTTGTGGTGATAATATGATGGTTCTTGTTCGTGGTTTGTGGTGATAATATGATGGTTCTTGTTCGTGGTTTGTGGTGGTAATATGATGGTTCTTGTTCGTGGTTTGTGGTGATAATATGATGGTTCTTGTTCGTGGTTTGTGGTGGTAATATGATGGTTCTTGTTCGTGTTTTGTGGTGATGATATGATGGTTCACTCTCTACGATATATATACAGTCTTCCATGAATGTCTCTACACCCAGTGACTGCCTCTCCAGTGACTGGTGCCTCTACACCCAGTGACTGGTGTCTCTACACCCAGTGACTGCCTCTCAAGTGACTGGCGCTTCTACACCCAGTAACTGGTGCCTCTACACCCAGTGACTGGTGCCTCTACACCCAGTGACTGGTGCCTCTACACTTAGTGACTGCCTCTACAGTGACTGGTGCCTCTACACCCAGTGACTGGTGCCTCTACACCCAGTGACTGGTGCCTCTACACCCAGTGACTGGTGCCTCTACACCCAGTGACTGGTGCCTCTACACCCAGTGACTGGTGCCTCTACACCCAGTGACTGGCGCCTCTACACCCAGTGACTGCCTCTCCAGTGACTGGTGTCCATAGAGCTCTAAACTGATCCCTCTGACAACCTCACTTTTCGTCTCAGGTTTTTCTGCGTCGACTTTTATCTCAAGTTTAAATGAAAATAGCATTTTCTATCTCACCTTTTTCTGCTGTCACATTTTCTCCTTCCCACACTCTTCCTTCCCACACTCTTCCTTCCCACACTCTTCCCCTTCCCCCCCCCCCCCCCTTCCCCGAGGCCTGGAGTTAGTGTTATGACGCGGGTGGGGGAGGGGGGGGGGGGATTTGGGTGATGGTGGGAGGGTTTTTGTGGGGAAGGGAAGGGAAGGGAGGGGAGGGGGGGGGTATTTGGAAGGGAATGGGGGGCGGGGAGGCCTTGTTCTCCAACTTGGTCTGCTGTTCTTGGGTTCCTCATCGCACTCTCCAAGCTGTCATTGTTTTCCCCCCCTCCACCACATGTACTGATGGGTAGAGGCACAGCCTCGCTTTATGCCGGGTTGCTGTTCGAGCCTCAACGGTGCAAGTGGTTGGGCACCTTTTATTTGCTCATTCATCCCAGCTCCTTGTCCAGATATCAAGCTTTCAAGAGAATGTTCGTCTCTCTGAGACCTTCCTCCTGACAAATTACCTTAACTTACCTTGTGTTGTTCGCTGGCTCAAGACACCGCGTGTGTCTGACATGTCGGAAGTTAGAAGATGGATGTCTCGCTCCAGAGGTCCATAAACAGGGGCGTCTCCTTGGAGGACGAGGCGCCCCTGGACGTAATGACTGCTGCTGGATCCCTACTGCTCTGTATGTGTCCAGCGAGTCCTCCTGCAGGTAGACTGAGGGCTTTCTTAAGGCGCCAGCTTGGGTTCTGCTGTTATGATGTTCAGTCTTAGTTTCAGCTCCTTCAGCATACTCTTCTTCTGAGATATAACCCTTCTAGATGAAGCACCTTTATGGACTCTCCATGCTACTGCTTTATGGACTCTCCATGCTACAGCTTTATGTACTCTCCATACAACAGCTTTATGGACTCTCCATGCTACTGCTTTATGGACTCTCCATGCTACAGCTTTATGTACTCTCCATGCAACAGCTTTATGGACTCTCCATGCAACAGCTTTATGGACTCTCCATGCTACAGCTTTATGGACTCTCCATGCTACAGCTTTATGGACTCTCCATGCTACAGCTTTATGAACTCTCCATGCTACAGCTTTATGGACTCTCCATGCAACAGCTTTATGGACTCTCCATGCTACAGCTTTATGGACTCTCCATGCTACAGCTTTATGGACTCTCCATGCTACAGCTTTATGTACTCCCCATGCTACAGCTTTATGTACTCCCCATGCTACAGCTTTATGTACTCCTCATGCTACAGCTTTATGTACTCTCCATGCTACAGCTTTATGTACTCCCCATGCTACAGCTTTATGTACTCCCCATGCTACAGCTTTATGGACTCTCCATGCTACAGCTTTATGGACTCTCCATGCTACAGCTTTATGGACTCTCCATGCTACAGCTTTATGGACTCTCCATGCTACAGCTTTATGTACTCCCCATGCTACAGCTTTATGTACTCCCCATGCTACAGCTTTATGTACTCTCCATGCTACAGCTTTATGTACTCCCCATGCTACAGCTTTATGTACTCCCCATGCTACAGCTTTATGTACTCTCCATGCTACAGCTTTATGTACTCCCCATGCTACAGCTTTATGTACTCTCCATGCTACAGCTTTATGTACTCCCCATGCTACAGCTTTATGTACTCTCCATGCTACAGCTTTATGTACTCCCCATGCTACAGCTTTATGTACTCCCCATGCTACAGCTTTATGTACTCTCCATGCTACAGCTTTATGTACTCCCCATGCTACAGCTTTATGTACTCCCCATGCTACAGCTTTATGTACTCCCCATGCTACAGCTTTATGTACTCCCCATGCTACAGCGTTATGTACTCCCCATGCTACAGCTTTATGTACTCTCCATGCTACAGCTTTATGTATTCCCCATGCTACAGCTTTATGTGCTCTCCATGCTACAGCTTTATGTACTCCCCATGCTACAGCTTTATGTACTCCCCATGCTACAGCTTTATGTACTCTCCATGCTACAACTTTATGTACTCCCCATGCTACAGCTTTATGTACTCCCCATGCTACAGCTTTATGTACTCCCCATGCTACAGCTTTATGTACACCCCATGCTACAGCTTTATGTACTCCCCATGCTACAGCTTTATGTACTCTCCATGCTACAGCTTTATGTACTCCCCATGCTACAGCTTTATGTACTCTCCATGCTACAGCTTTATGTACTCCCCATGCTACAGCTTTATGTACTCCCCATGCTACAGCTTTATGTACTCCCCATGCTACAGCTTTATGTACTCCCCATGCTACAGCTTTATGTACTCCCCATGCTACAGCTTTATGTACTCCCCATGCTACAGCTTTATGTACTCCCCATGCTACAGCTTTATGTACTCTCCATGCTACAGCTGTATGTACTCTCCATGCTACAGCTTTATGTACTCCCCATGCTACAGCTTTATGTACTCTCCATGCTACAGCTTTATGTACTCCCCATGCTACAGCTTTATGTACTCTCCATGCTACAGCTTTATGTACTCTCCATGCAACAGCTTTATGTACTCCCCATGCTACAGCTTTATGTACTCTCCATGCTACAGCTGTATGTACTCTCCATGCTACAGCTGTATGTACTCTCCATGCTACAGCTGTATGGACTCTCCATGCTACAGCATTATATGTATAATGTATAACAGGAATATTTGCTTGGCACTTTTAGCCGAGTTCTGACCGGAAATATTTAAATAAGTTTATAATTGTTACATTCTTTATTCTGCGCTTGTTTAGCACCTCAGATAAATTATCACGATTGGCAGTTACTTCTCAGCGGAAAAGATAATATTTACTCTGTAAAAACACAACGTTACTGTCCCTATTTTCAGCTTGTTACAACTTGTAATAAAGTTGTTTCATCTTGTTACAACGTTTTTATGACAATTAGGACGTTGTTACAACGTATTATATTGGTTGTTACAACTTGTTAGGTGTTAGACTTGCTCGAATGTTGTAGCAATGTGGTAGTTTCGTAATGTGTTTGGCGGGTATGCAGAAATCTGAGATCCAAAAGTACACAAAATATATTCCTTAAGTTGTCTTGAGGTTAGAAACTGTTTTTTGTGTTGTTTCCCTTTAGAGACGTCCATTTGAGGACCCGCCAAGAGAGAGACGGACACACACTATATTTCGAAGGAACTCCTATACGCTTATATAAAAATTTCCCCTTCTCAAAAGTCGACCATTAAAGGCACCGAGCCATCAGTGACCTCCCCCCCCCCCCCGTGGTGAATGGAGCCAACGACCCTTACGAGGAGGTAAAACAACGGAAGCTCTTTGTCCAGCCTGCAGCCGTCTATGGGAGAAGACTTTAACCTTCATATCCCACCGGAGAGACCTCGCTGACACAGCCGCCGGACCATAGCCGCCCCTCAGCCCGCCGGACCATAGCCGCCCCTCAGCCCGCCGGACCATAGCCGCCCCTCAGCCCGCCGGACCATAGCTGCCCCTCAGCCCGCCGGACCATAGCCGCCCCTCAGCCCGCCGGACCATAGCTGCCCCTCAACCCGCCGGACCATAGCCGCCCTCAGCCCGCCGGACCATAGCCGCCCTCAGCCCGCCGCCCCTCGTCTACCCCCCCCCCCCCAGCCCGCCCCTAACGTTCCCCAACGTCAAGAAACTGTCGTGCTAAAGTGCCCTTATACTAACGCTTACGCGAGGATGCAAAACAGAAAACGGGATAGTATGACAATTTCGCGAGCCGCTTCAATTTGCCACTACAATGATTTGTGACCTTTGGTGGAGTATACGTCAAAAATGCGACGTTCTGTTAGGAGGCCGGGTTGCCTCAGCAAGGTGGCTGACTCTGGCCCTTGAAATCAGTGAGAGGAATAAAGGTCAGAGACTGAGGGATATATAGGGAGAGATAGAGAAGTTTGTTTTTAATTAAACTTTGGGTAAAAGTCGGCTTACAGGAGAAAAATGCTGTTTAAGGAGATTTGGCGTTGTTAACGAGGAAATAATTCGAAACCGGTAGAAAAAACTTTTCAAAATTCAAATTTTAAAGAGTGTTTTGTACTGGTTTTACCAACATTGAGCACCAGTTATGTAGAGGCTACAGTTGTGGTGACCAGACCTCACATCACAAGATGAAGTAACGACCACGTTTGGGTCCCTCCAGTACCATTATCAAGTCATTGTGTGTTTTTTTTCATCATATCATCAGCCACGTTATTGTGACTCATCGTCTACATGGCGATGAGTCACAATAACGATGTACACTAACTACTGTATAACAGAAGATGGAGAATGTCGTAAGGTTAATTAAGTGTTAAGAACGGTGTTCTACAGATGAACACACAGATCTAAATTACATTCGGTTGTAAATTGTGAACGATTTACAATTCATTACCGAATTCAAACTGTTCACGGCTGAACGGTTCCGACACCTTACATATTGATGGACTTTGAACACTTCTGTCTCTTGGTTGTACCACAGCAATACAGGATGGGGTCGTATACAAGGTTCCCAAGATGATATTACTGTTACGAACCCGGATCCAGCGTCCGAGCCTGGAGCAGTGACAACCACGCCATCTGTGGGTCAGCTCCCGAAACCCCCGCCAAACGGACGACGACACCTGGTGAGGACAGCGTGTACTGGCCTCGAGGACCAGTTTCCAGTCTGGTTCAGCGCTCAACACCGCCGCTCCTGACCTCTGGTGAGGTGGTGCTCCGACGACAGCGCCATCTATGGACTGGATACGTCAGGTGTATGTGCCCGAGCCCGTAAGTGAGGTGTATTAGTGTCCCGGTTATTGATGACGTGTCTGCTTACAGAGCCGACCTGGGACCACTGTGATGGAAGTGGAGTCAGTCTACCCGAGGCAGCCAGTCTCCATACTGTGAAGTTTGCTGCAGCTGTTGTGAAGTCGTCCCCCCGGAAGAACACTGTGGTGTGTTAGCCTGCCAGTGGAGTGGCAGTAAGAGGATTTACCCGGGACCGACTGTTGGAGACGATCATCCACTGGGGTATTGAGGACAGGAGGGTGATTTGTGATATCACACGAGACTCCTGTCTAGGGCGTATTCCTTATATCGTTCGTGGAGTGGCCGTACCAGCCTTGGTGGCTCAGTACCTGCCAGCAGACCAGCTGGACGTGTGGTTGATGGCCTCCACGACGGTGCCCCCAGTGGACCTGTGTTTTGGCTGACCTGTGGCCAGGGTAGGCTCAACTTCTTTGGATAATTCATTGTGTGGCCACGAAGAAAGCACCAAGGACTCGGCACCGAGAGTTGTGGCACCAGCGTCTTCAGCAGAAGACAACGATTATGGATTAATCCCCTTGTATAGTGTTAATACCCCTCCCCCTTGTGCACTCATTTATTTTATATATTTAAACGGTGATGGTGTTAATTATAATATAAAGTTCTTAACTTTCTTTCCCTACTCCCTTTAAGTTACTTACGTCACGGATCTCATCCCTTGATAGCCACTACTGGCTTGGGAACGGATACATTATATCTTCCTCTAACAACATCAGAGTAAGGACCCCGTTGCGTCCCGAGAGGGTCGTAACAATTACATGAACAATACA